TTACGCGAGATTTGAACGGGACTTACGTAGGCGTCGGATCAGATGTATGTAGGGCGGAATTAAAAAAAATCAAAATCAAAGTAAAATAATAAAATAAAAAGGCATTAATAACAAAAGTAATAAAAAATAAAATTAAAATAAGTTTATAGCCAAAATAATTAAAGCCCGTACACTACATCAGATTTTAATCAGATTGACCTATGCCAAGGAGGCTTGGGATTATGTCAAAAATGTAAGGAAAAGAGGTTTCAAACACCAACATCGAATACGCCAACAACGACAATAGCGCAAACAATAGAAGACAACATGGTGAGTATGCAAATCTTGTCACCGTCCCGGCAAACACGGTCTTCACCGTTACTGAGTTCTGTGTATATATAATACAGAAAGATATCCACAATATGAATAATAATCAGCAATCTATGGACACAATGAAGTTCATTAACAACCAACTTGAAAAAATGAGAAAAAGATTGGAGAAACCGGAAGTAAGTAAGGCAAACCTTGCATGAGAGAACACTCAATTACGTGACAACATCTGTGTATTAGAACATTGATCCGACCATAACTCCGGCCGACATTGACGTCACACACCGCATCGGTAAAAAATACTTCAAACAGCCAATCCACGTGTTCGAAATCAGTTATTGATCGCTTTGCAGCCAAGTAAAGACGGAATATTATTTTTGAACGCATCTTCGCTAGCCAAGATCTAAGTTTATTCGGCCAAGTCTCTAAACAGACCTTGGCAGAACGACCATCAAATATGCGTATTCTAACAGCGCCCCCAGTGTGTGTTACAAATCCCTCTTTGGCTTTCATTTTTAAACAAAATGGCGGCGCCCATGAATCGTGATATTTGTGATGATAAAATTGCGAAAGTTTTCGGTGTTGGTGCCCTCAAGCCTCATCAGGTACAGGCAATCGACGCAGTTTTGTGTGGGAAGGATGTCTTCATTGCTACAAAAACAGGAAGTGGAATTTTGTTTTATAATTTGGTACGTCCAAGCTGATTGGGCGCCTTGTTTCGAGGCGCGCCCAATCAGATCTCACTGCTTAAGATACGCAATTAGCCTATGCGATCCCGCACAGTATCGTGTAGAGGCCTATAGGTCGAAGACACATACAGGCACACACATACAGAACTCAAACAAAACATGATTCTACTGAAACTGCAACTACGTCCATAACGGATTCAGACAGTTAGAGCCTGTGTGCTCACACCACTATCATTTGTGAGTTCTTTTCAAGCAATGTATTATAATCCCCCATACTAATATGTGGAAGGAACAATAAAACATCACTCAAAACATTCAGATGTAATTACTGAATAAACCAATAACAATGTTGAACCATCAAGTTTGGAAGTGTGTTCTTTATATCTTCTCCTCTAAAACCATTACAAATGTTTATCTGTAATTTGGTGTATTGATTCCCGGGGGTATTTAGCTCTCAGATTATTCACAGCTGCATGATCCACATGGTGGAATGATTTAATTTGGATTTTAAATACTTAACATAAACCTTCATATGCATCTTTTGGGAAATCAAAAAGATATTGGTTATTTGGAAGACAATTACTGTGGCTTCAACTATCAAGAGTCGTGTACATTACGAAGAAGTCGTCATCAAATCGGTATATTGACATGAATGAAACTAATTTATGTATATGTGGAATTGTTACATTTAAAATATATAATACATGTCTCATAGGTCGCTGAACGCTGAACAACTGTATTATTAATTGGTGAATATAACTGTTAATAATTTCACAGGAAAACGAACATACATATATTACAGCATGAACACCAGACTTCATACAGTCCCTTATTTATTTTATTTTTTTTTTTTTCAATAAAATAAAATGTTATAGGAGTGTATAAATGGCGAAAGCCGAGTTACTGCAAAAATTTAGTTACCGCAAAAAAAAAATAAGGGACTTGTGAACTTTGAAAGGGTTTCTTTTCTATTAATATTGATGACCATTTGAATGACGTCACACATAAACAACAACAAATAAACAAGGGACAGTACGCGAGTCGACATAAACACGAGATCACGGCAAGCGCCTTGTTACTGCAGGCAATACATATTATATAATTTCTTTATATATACTATATTAGAATCAAAACTGTGTATAAATAACTAATGCAGTCTCTTTTATTATGTACAAATAAATCTAGGATTACTTAATATATTATACTAATAATTTATAACAAAATGTTTTTATATATACAAATAGGATTTGTGTATTATTTACATATAATTTGTTTATTACCATAACATGACAATTGTCAATATTGTCAATATGGTGTATATTTTATTATATACAAATAATTTACTTCATATACAAACACTTTGTGCCACTAATGACTATGTACATATAATGAAGGCTCGTGTTATTGTTACATATAGTTTGCTTACATCAATAAATGCACGAACGGCACCCCATGTGATGTGTTGTTATTTGTTTCAATGTTATCTTGCATTCAGTATCGGGTTCTTGTACAGTCTAAAAGTAATGATTTTCGTATGTACAAACTCAAAAAGAGACTGAAAGAGTTATCCTTGGAGGTTGATACAATTGTCCCCAAAGCCCCCACCATATTTAAGATTATTATTAACTACACCTATGATATCAATGGAATGCACTCGCGGGTGTCTGATAAAAAAAAAAGTTTAAAAATAAAATTTGCAAGAAACCTTTTCGTATCCTTTGTGTGATAACAAAATAAATAAATTAATTTTACAATTGGTAATTAAATCTAATGCTAAAAACTAAAAAACACAAAATATTCAAAAAAATGATGTATACCAACAATGGTTGGGTATTCGGTTGAGCACATTTATAATTATGTCATTCAAAGCATATGGATGTTTGTTTGACATTTAGCCTCTATTAATTTCTGTTTTAGACATATCTAAGTGTCTATAGCTTCTTCGCACTTGCAATATATGATGATATGTGCTGTGTATCTTAACTTCGTGTATCTGGATAATTGTCTTTCAGGGTCGCCTCAATACTAAAGATAAAATGCGTATCGTGTTTTTATATTTTTACCCAAAACTACAAACATGGCGCCCTCGCAGGCCAAAACTACAAACATGGCGCCCTCGCAGGCCAACGGCATCAGTTTGGATCAAAGCAGAGGGCGCAACTAACGGGACCCTGTCATTCAGTGTGTAGTTGATGTTATATTTGTTGGGTCCGTCATATTTAGGGAGTTGTATCACATGAAATGAACAAATGCTCAATCAGTTCCACCCACATACCTACAACAGGCCTAAATTATTCAATTATTCACACTGATTTAATTCAATGGATGACATCCTCTGAAGACCCCAAAACTAATGCGAGAGGGCGAAAAAAATGCTGCTAAAACCACAAGACTACGGAGCTGTTATTACTAATTGAACCGCAGTGTATCAAAAAACAACAAGTCTTTATTTGTAGGAGGTACATGTTGATGTACACATCTCGTACTGTATTACTGTCACAGGTATCATCACCTTTGATTTTGAAAAGGCAAGAGGATAAGGCAGATGTTAGCTTTGCCAAAGGCATGCACATCAACTCAATGATAAAGAAAAACTTACTGTGTTATATTGAAAAAAAATTAATTAAAAATGAACAATACGTTTGTCAACAGCAATCTGAAAATTAACTTCTTTGACATTCAAACTACAGCTTTTAAAGTGACACTTCAGATACACAAATGCTCTAGAACTACTTCAACTATGTAACAAATTATAAGAGGCTCGATATTGAAAAAAATACACCAACAGAAAGTCAACAAAAATTTGGATGCAGAAAATTATGTACATGTATCTTGATGAAAATTTGTCATATGATCAAAATATTACTGACTGTGTGTGCAAGCAAATTATCCGAATCAGAAAATGAAAACAAAAATAATAAGAAACTTTTTTTCACCCCGAAAGGGGAATTCGGCCGATGAGCTTCCGCTGCTTTCGTTGCAGTTTTGTCGACTTCAATGCGGACAAAGCAACCGAACTGACTTGTCGCCTGACCGAATTTTAGGCCACCATACACCTCCACTCCTCTCCCATTTCTCTCACCGTTGCGGAAAAAACGCGGGACAGCCACTCTAGACAATATGTCCTTAAAGTTGTCTGGGCGAAACTCGTTTGCCGCTACCAATCTCTCGTATAGCTGTGTAAACGTCACATCTCCCTGGCCAATGTCAATTGCGTACCAGTCGACAACAATCCCTCGTTTTATGCTCACGTATTTTGGTGGTGTGGTCGCCATGTTGGATCATTTATGACAAAATTGGCATTTTTTGAGGCATTCTCCTTCATAGGTTTTTGCGCTTTACGTAACGCGCATCTAACTGTGCGTAGTTTGATTTTGAGGTAGTCCAAAACGAGTTTTACGACAAGTCGGCGCTTTGCGACAATATGAGTCGGCAAGTTCCGGACAGAAAACCGATCTGTGGAGACTCGTCGTCGGAGATTTTTTTTTTTTAGAACAGGCGAAAACTAATGCGCGCGCGGATGTCATCCATAAAATTAAGTCGGTGTGGCCTAAAGGGTATGGAAAAAATACATGGGCTATAAGTAAAATGTTTCTGATATATGTGGCATTACGTTGTAAGAAAGAAGGACAGTATGAAACTCATATACCTGTTATATTTATCCTTGGTATTGGACATGTATCAACAGTTGTGTAATGGTAACTATAACAACGTTTTAATTGTGGAAATGTATGAATTGTAATATTTCTAGAAATGTGCGTTTTTTCACAATTTATCTATTTTCATTTGCAAATATTTATATTTATATATATTTGTGACTAAATATTAATATTGAGTATCATAATATATGTGTTTATTCCATACTATAGGTCACTTGCCCAAAAATACAATAGTAGTATCATTGCGCGAAGTAAACAAACAAGCCTTTGTTAATGACATGGTCCCCGTTGGAATTGTTCGTGCCAAAAAATAAGGGAATGTGGACTAAAGGAATAATTAGTAATTGAAAGTGAATAAGTGGCTGGTCTAGTATCAACAGAAATTTAGTAATATATGACTCTTCCAAAATCGAAATATATGGTCAGAAATTAAACAGGATATGCTATTCATGCATTTGTTGTATCCAAACAACATTTCATTTGTCAAGGCTCATGTACAGAGATATAGTTATGGTATGGGTATGGTTAAAAAGCAAGATTTTAGGCAGTCAACCATATTTGACCCGATTGTGAAACTAATTGCCATGGAGCAAGAACAATAAAATATGTCAGCGGTACATTTTGAAAAAAAAACGAGATGGCGGCCAGTTGATCATTTTGGATTCAAACATGAAACGAATCATCATGGACATGTATCTCTACATGTGTAATGTTTGTATCAAATTTGAACAAAAAACATCAAATCAATTCCAAGATATCACTCGAAACAGACATTCACAGTTTATTTCTACTATTTGCACACCGTTATCATTGAAGAACATTTCTGGAGAACATTTCAGTTTTCTGACTAACTTGTAAATTTGTGATTGGTAAAAATTTGTGAAAGAACAAACAGACGGAAATACACGGTAGCAAATTCTTAAAGTGATTACAAAATGTATCCTATTTATAAATTGTCACGCTCTCGCTGCGTTTTCTATTAAATGCTCTCATTCAGAATGTGTTAACAAACAAGTTAATATGTAACAGATGAGCGAGAAAGCGCAGCTGATCATTTTAATTGATTTACTATAAATAACACTGACGTAACCATGAAACGTCGAGACGCGTGAACTTTTGACGTCGCGTTATTAGTTCGTGCGTGAGTTGGGTGGAATATGAGATGGCACTACGTACGACTGCGGTATCAACGCTGCATGATTTTTAAACTTCCATATTCTTACATATGTATACACATGTTATTTATAGAGCTCGCTGCTCTCACTTTAAATATTACTCAGAAACAAACCAGGATTGCTTGAATATTCTGTAGATATCAAGACAATATTATTCAAACCTTGGATTCGAATAGATACAAGTCTGATTCTAATGAAAATTTAATGGTTGCATTTATATTTATATGTCTCTTAACTATTTGTGTATTTGTTGTTTAACATGCAATTAGGCTATGAGCTAGACGACTCACAGGGGGTACTAATTATCTAGGATATCTATTTTAGTGTATAATTTGAAAAATGTTTGCTGGACATGTCAAATTTGTAGCCTTGGCTTGATATTATTGGTTAAAGTATCTTTTATATTTCTATTTATGGCCATATTTATTCTACAAGAGACCTTAAACATTTTAAAATAAAATATAAAATGAGCCACCTATATGTTGTTTTGTTTTTTTGTATTTACTTCAACACTAGTTTCTTAATTCAGAATGGCTTAAGATATGATTTGCACTATAGAGGTATAAAGGGATGAGCATTTATGGATAAAAGTATAAATATATATTTATGCAGACAAATGACATGCATAAGCATGACCGAATAGGGAAAAGTTTAGTACAATCTAACAACTGAGTTCATTTTTCTATATTTCTGATATATCTTTCAGTTTAATAGTATAATTGGGAACAATAAAATACCCTTATATCTATAAAATTATTAAATCACTTTTACCTATTAAATTATAAAATGAATCTTGGTATCGTTATCACGTTTCTTATGTTTCTGTCGCTTGATTTAGCCAGTGTTCGAAAACTGTGTCCGACGGGAAACTGGCATATTAGTGGAGACTAATCAACATTCCCAAAGCTTGCTTACCTGCCGGTTTGATCCGATCAACAATAGGGGAACGATGCTATGATCCATCACACTATCTTTTACCAATATGATGATGTCTATGTAAATTTAAATCCAGTTCCATCAACGAGAAAGGCTGCATTTAACACATATATCATATGATATAATCTATGATTGTTCACGTGAGACACTTATAAGAAAGATGGCTTTAGTGGTGCGTTTTTTGTGGAACTTTGCAAAGTTGTGTGGTTGATATTAGGCAAACAAATTGAATTGTACACGCATTGTTAGTGGCACTACAATCATAATAATGAACACTTGGCAACTCGAAAGTAATCAATGTAATCCATCTGGTACGAATTGATTGTAAAATGGATAATACCAGACAGTGTTCTGTGTTCATTGTTTTTCTCAGTTGTTTGTATACTGCCCTCAGCAGTCGTGAGACCTGTCAGAGGCTGTTAATGAAGAGCTGAGCAAAAGGGCATGAAAATTAAATCTAGTCCACGGCATATACAGACACACATGAACATCGAAACAGGAACTTGGGTTCATTAATATATAAATAGTATGAATGTCACTGTTCTTGTATTGGTTGATGCATTCGATGGTTATTAGAAAAGACAGTGAAAGCAAGTGAAAAAAGAAAAAAAAAGTAAATGAATTCAAACGTTAAGTGGTAAATCTCGTTTTATTAATCGGTGTTATTTTTCTAAATGCATTGTACATTACCAGACATGACTTCTAAGTGCAGTTGAATTGAGGGAAGGAAAACATCAAACCGATCAAGATCCTCTAATTAGGATTTTATGTGAACGATTGTCACAGGTCCCACCTCACAAAAACTGCCATTAAAAATAATGATCTCGTAAGGTCTTTGCAGTGCAAGACAGTTCCAAATAAATATAACATAATATAACACAAAACTATTCCATAGACTCAAAATTAAAGGTAAATGTTTTGTGTGTGTGTGAGAAAAATACAAAAATAAAACCACTCCAGAGGAGAAAACATAACATATGTAAGTTAAGCGACTGTGTTTACTACATGATAACTACCGGTATAATGACCCTAATTAGATACATCCAATTGGTAGCGACATTACTGAGTATAAGGCCCAGTAAATAGCTTCTTGGATGACAACTGTGGGACACATGGTCAACTTTAAACTTGAATTGTATATGGTCAAAGACGAATAGCAAATAACAAATAATATATATGCATATTCTATATTATAAATTACAATGCAATTACATTTCATTTAAAACACTGTCCTCACAAAATACTGACTGACCTGTGAAGTCTCGCACAATAAACAACAAGGTGAACAATAGTTGGTATTTATTTTGTAAATGACCGCTGGTGGCGCCAATGTCTGAGATCACAACTGATATTCGTGTATTGTCTCACATTGACATTAGATGCAATACAATCAGCCTCAAGACAATAAATTCACTTGTAAGTTTTCAAAAATCACCTGCTGTATTAACAAACATTGAATAAGTATACTTCGTGACGCGGGCCCAGCCGTACGGAATTAAATGATCTATGACCTAACAACACTTTATTGCAGATGCACACCAAAAATGTCCACCAAAGCTTCTGTTTCTGTATTTGGCCGTAATAAATGGAAACATAGCAGCAAAATCTCCTGGTGCACAAAGAAATTGCATTGCTTAGCATGGTTGCTAAGTATTTATCAAATAAAAACGTGATATAAGACATAGATCATATTCAACCCGAGATGGCGCTCTATACAATGATGTTGTTTCAATGGCACTATTGGTTATTATTCTCCCTCCATTAAATATATGAACAGTACAATATATTTCATAGAATAGTGTGCCTATGTAGTTAGTCCAATGTTATGAAACAATCGGGTTACGGCTGGGAAATGTCTGTGTATTGTTATAATAAGGTGATAATTTATTGTTCTGTAAATCTACTATCCAACCACGTTCGTAGATGATCGGTGACATTCATATGCGGCATCTTCAATTGTTCAATCATTGTATCTCCGATGTATACCATCTTTCCGTTTTCGACAATAAAGGCACGATCTGGATGGGCGTGGAATGCTCTGTTGAAGCTATTTTCCATGCTGTCGACAGCCACAGAAATCTTCGTATCACTGGACATATCGAAAGTAAACAAGTCACCCGCTCTATTCACCATAGCCCTGAAACGTACAAGTCGGAGTGGCATGTTTAACAGCGTGTATGTTTTAACGAAAGAGTTTTTGGACTGTGTGCTATTGATGTTTTACTTTTATTAATATTGGCCAACATCGATGAACACAAAATAAATCCCACATTAAGTTTAGCCTCAGCAAGCGATCATTGGTGTCAGCTACGCGTAAACAACTGCCTGTCATATATCAGTAATATCTACACAGCATCAACCAATCTGTATAATCAAGGCCATGACTACTGGTACGAAAATAAATTCAAAAAAGAGACGTCTTTTAAATGTATTGCCCTTAATGTGTTCCTTAGCAAATCGAAAAATGCAGCTCAGTGGTTTAACTAGAACGGGTATGTTGAACTCTAGTTTATTTGAACAAAAGTATGGTACGTACAAATTAACCCCCCCCCCCAAATAAAATGGAATAAAAAACGCCGTCCAAAGGTAGTTCGGTATGTTTGGTTATTTCTATTTAAATGAATCAATCTGATTGACATATATCCGAAATGAACATACCGGCGATCGTTCCGAGTTACTTACTGTTGCTCGCATACAATATATTTAAAAATCGTATTTACCGTGCACAATCAATTCTGTCGTCCAAAACTTTATGTTGATTCATGAAGCTGAAATTCGTGCCCATTTTAAAACCATCACGAGGATGGGCCTCTACAAGGTACACAAACAGGAAGTCGACAGTCGACTTGTAGTCTGCAAACAGCTTGGACAGAGAACCGCCATCCACGATGGCCTGTACATCAGAAAGAGAAAAAAGATAGCATCAATGAAACAAATACTTAATGTAGTAACAGAACATTTTCTAGAATGTTAATGCAAATGCTCAAAAATGGGCATATAAACAGGATCTAGGTTTCAAGATGCTACATTCATGTTGACTATGGTATTTCGTTCATTTATTTCTACAATTTAATTCAACTTCATCTCAAAATACACATCCTTGATATACATGAAGAAGAGGTTAACTCCCATGGCCATGACAACAACCCTTGTATAAGTTTGGCCAAGTTGAATGTACATTTTGCATATACTTAGTTAATATTCAAACTCAGGTTAGATTGAAAAGAACTTATATCGTGAGAAATAAACTACTTGGCCATGATCCTTTGAGTGGAAAAAAACGTTGACCTTCCTGTTTAATACAACAAAGGCACATAGAAGTAGGGCGGGTGAAACGTGGACTACGTGCAGAAACTCTGTAGCCTTCACGCACCCTCAATTGACACGAGACAACACAGTGAGGTCACTACTCCTAGTACTTTATTCAAGCCACATTTGTTTATTGCTTATTATTATTCCTTAGAACAATTGTAAGTTAGATGAAAGATCTGAACAATTTAATTATGTGGCATGTGCTCTCATGATATTCATGGTAATGCGAGTATGTGAAGAACAGAATATTAATTAAAAGTGATCATCCCAATATGTTCCTTTTATAAATTACTATTATATATATATAATACTCACTCGGAGTGGAGGTCAGCTAAACGATGATGCTATCACTACCATTGGTCTGTTCTTACGTAAGTTAAGACTGGAGAGTTGTCTCACTTCTTTGGTCTCCACGTCAACAATCCCAACATCGGGGACTTTGTCTCCGGGCTGCAACTTCCCACTCTGCATCATTGACCGGAATTCATACATGAAATCAAGATGGCGTCTCACCTGTGAAGATGGTGAGTGTTAGCAAAAAATAGATATAGACATGTGCATCAGAATATTATACATAGTCCGTTACAATCATACCTCCAAATATAATTGGGGTAACCAGGAGGATATAATCATTGGTTTCATGAAACAATATCAAGTTTGGTTGGTTCCCCTCTCCCTTTTTCCAAAACTGAAAAAGTTATGATGTTGCGCAATTAATCACATCCAGGATGACATACAAAGCGGTGTTTTATTCTTAGTATTCCTTTTAACATAAAGTTACTCGGCTAATGATTACCTCTGGGTCTTTTTCATATTTCTGTACCAACATTTCCATGGCGAATAGGCAAATTGGTGTAGCTTTAACGTCTGGAAATTCGGGACACATTTCTTTGAGAACACGGTTTGCTGTGTCTGACCAGATCATCATCGTTTCAAGCATCACCGATGGGCTGCTTGGGTCAAGTTTGTCATACTGTCTTTGAACATGTTCAGAAAATGAAAGTTCACGATGTTTCTTGGCTATCTTCACAACAAGTTCTCTGTCATTCAAGAAATTCAATAGTTTTCCTGTGCAATTGATAGAAACAAAATATATGTTGGTCACAAAATCTTAACCGCATTGGCCCAATCCTTGTATCCTTATTTTCCACTGGGCAATTTAATGTTTAATTTATTTTTAATTGTAAGTACTCTGTACAACAACAACAACAACAATGAATTCAATTGCATGTTCATTGCTAGTAAGTCTACGCGAGAGAGTGTAATACTGATAGCATGTGCGTTGTGTAGACATTACACATTTGCTAGCTATACTAGTCTACCAATGAATTTCTTGTATTTCTGTTAGGAGCAGCTGCTGGCGATGAGACACTGACTGCGCCCGCAATGCGGAATGGAATGTTATTAGACAGTTCCGAATGAAATGAATTACGGCGGATTTGTAACATAGATACATCATTGGTAATTGTTTGCAGGCATCTTCACTCTCTCAGGATTGTACGAGTTGTATCAGTCATGAAGACAATCACTATCCATAGTTTCGAGTTGTCATACCCTGGGTATTTATTTCTAGCATTTCTAATGGCAGGTACGTAAGCGTACGATATCTTGATTATTCGCATTAAGGGGACTTGGCATGCCACCGTTACCGATGGTAGTATCATGATTCCAGTTCATGTGTAACTCCTGGCACTCGAACATTGAAAATTAGAATAACTGTGTAGAACATTGTAGAACTCACAAAATATCCTTTCTACCTTAATGATCATTTACTCTTTCCTGTATATCAACAATATTTTTGTTTTTGGTAGACTTGTTTTTCTCCAAAGTGCCTGACCCCAGTGTTAAAAGGTGTAAACAGGCATAGATACGTCTGACGTCAGGGATAGTTATTGTTCTAGGTTGATCTAGACGGGCTCGTGTCGAGATCACTTGGCGGGACCTACTAGTATTCATTATCGCATACATAGCAACGATGCATCAGAAGAATGTCTGAGTCACAGCAAAACGCCAATGCATGACGTCATTGTAAGTATTTCATTCAGGCCAGCCAACCACGCAGAGAGAAAGTATTGCAGACACCACGTGAGTTCGCATCGAGCAAGCTGATTGGCTCGCTGAGAACAACTATTTTTGCAAGTCGTGACAGAACGTGTTTGAAACTCTTCGAATCAACGAAAATGTTTCTCCTCTTCTTTGCCCAACACGGTTTGCAATAAATCTTGAGTATTTAAAACACTACAATAACGGAGCGTTCAGCAATAGGCTAACATTTCTAACGAAATAACTGCCGCAACTATATTTGCCGCAGTTAAAATCAGCCGATATTATCAACTATAGCAGATATGCATGCAAAAAAGTATCGTTCAAAAATGGCTTTGTGTGTTCTTTTTTGCGGTATACTTGTATATAGGAACGCGATTTAAAAATGTACTACACTGAAAACAAAATATATTCCTGTCATTCAAGGAAATAAAGTAGTGTCCGGTACTGGGTATAGTCACGACTATACTAAGAAGTAATACAAAAACAGGAAGTCTCGATGGCATAAGCTGATGAAATAGCATGTGGGGTATATCATTAGTCAGCATGATAACATCAGATGAGACGCGCCTACTTAGGGAATACGCCAGAATACGTGACAAATTTGTCTTTCCGCCCTTGAAATATGCTGGCACATTTGAGGTAATTCCTCTGGTTACGTCGCACTATAGCGCCGCCATTATATTGTATTTGAGAATTGCAACTTGAAAGACACAGGCTTTTTTTAACAAAAAGGATATCGCATGTAACTGATACTTATACTATGTTAGAATGAAACGGAATTTGGTTGTGAACGATCATTACATACCCAATGGCGCAAACATTTTTAATTCAAATATACCCCAGCCTTTCCAAACTCTCCGCTTCTTTACAGCACAGTAAGTAGTTGCCACAGAAAAAAATGCATCCAAACACTATTTTTTATTATTTAATACAAGTAGCCGTCAAATTGTTCAGTAAAACATGCTTGATTAGAATTATTTCAATACTCAAATACACGCTGGAAGCCATTTGACATTTGTGTTTCTCTATGAAGGTGCGTATTGCGGGCCAATAATGAACAGTCATTTTAATTGTAGTCAGTGCTTGGGGTATTTCAACTTATGACTATAACAATTATGATATTCGAAGCTGATTCATTGTAACATGCATAAAGTGCTTTAATTACAGCACAAGCCGTACATTGGGTACTGCAGGCTCCATTGTTATATAAAGTTTAGTCAAAAGAGCAAATTGCATGCATCTGGAAATTTTGAATTTTGTCACGATTCTTGCAGACAGGGTAGTATTTACATGCGAATTACGGGGTCATTTTTGCGCCAACTACTCGCATTGAAATACATTACACCATCTCACTAAAACGTGCAGACATGTCCGCATTTCAGACAACTAAAAAAATAGTTTAAACCTGGAAAATCATTTTTCAGCTACAAAACTTAACGCGAATATTTGAAATGTTGTACTGAATTGAGTTAACAGTGAATACAAGGTAGTACAAAAAAGTTCCTAAAATAAAATTTACAGGAAAACTAAAAGAAATATATTCCTACCGTTCGCCATATTTTGCGTCATTGGCATTGCCATTTTCCCAGACATCGGAATATTCCCTTCCATTTTCTTTTTCATCATCATCATCATCATCATCGGGGATAGGGAATCAGACCGGGAACAGACCCCCGGCTCTGTGCAAGGACCAGGACCTGTTAAAAGCTTCTGTGACATCTTGCCTGTAAGTATTGTTCGAGGCTCGATCAGCTGTCCAGTGTCGAATCAGCTGGGCGAATACCGATTTTCCGTTCAGTTGCCCTCTTTTATACTTCCTGTGCCGTGTACTATCGACCCCTAGGGGTCAATCTTTAATTTAAGCGAGATGCGAATAAAGCATCGAATGGTCCATTCAACAGGTAAAATTATTAAAAGTAGGCCGGTCAGTCGAATAAGTAGGGCGCATGTCTAACCTCATCATTGACCCTAGGACATTCGGTCACAAAGGGTGGTCCCTTAAGTTTGTGTTCTTTTCCAACAGTCTAATTATTGAGAACAGTTGAATTTAATATTGTAAAGTGTATAACAGTTTCTTTATGTAAAAATACATTTATTTTTAGAATCTAGGTTTTATTTTTTAAATGAACTTGTTTTCTTATTTTGCCTTTGCTCCAAAAATCATTATTAAACTATGTGTAAATCTACAAACATGGGCGAGGCACTAGTTCAAACGTGCCATCGAGCCTAGGTGGTCATATCGTGTGCAAGCTAAAATTTTAGATTATTGAGTAAATTGTAATGATGGTGTTGTTGTACAGTATTTTTTGCAGTTGTGAGTACATGTATGTACATCGTGATGATTTAAGTATTTAAGTACCCGAGTTTCCACTGTTTCTGCGATTACGGAGATTTTTTTTTTTTTGCTTGTTTCAACATCTCATCGATGTTGGGCGTCGAATTTAGATACTATTGTGTCTCACGTCTCAAAAATCTACAAAGAAACACTTGCTATTGTTGACGATTCCTACCAATGACCCCCGGAAACAAGCAGTTTATTCATAGATTGTGCCCATAACCAGACGTAACGAAAGGCAATTAAGTTTATCATGTCGTGAATTGGAGAGTGGAGTGGAGGTCTCTGCTGCATTTGTGCGTCGGGTGCAATGCCCGATGTTTTTCATGTCCCGTTTTACTAGACAGAGAATAGTTCCTTTCTAAAAACATACTATTCACAGTGAGTAAAAGGTAATAGTATCATTACAAATTAGTGTAGCTCTTTTTCGTGACTAACTGAAACCCATTTTCAAGCTGTGCTCTGTCTGTGCACAGCACCAGAGTGAATTTCCATGGTGATCCTTCACAAATTCAAGAAAAGTACACGGGATTGATAGCAATTGATTGCATTTAAGGGTCAATGGCCAATAGAATGTCTGATTTGAAAATTCTGTATCATCGCTACGTGATTCAATACTAGAGTTAAAGCCGCGTTGCATGGGATGTCCCTGACCATACTGCAAAAAGTACCACATTTGCATATAGAGAATGGTTCGGCTCCATAAATAATTGACTTCCACGTATACTCAGGGCCACTAACAAAATGAAATACGACGCCAAAGATGTGAAGCTTAGAACATCATTTAGTGTAAAATTTAGTTTATTTAATGATATTATTTTTAAAAAATGGGGTATTTTGGGGTCATGTTACTTTTCTGTTGGACTTGTCTGTGATGCAGAGTGAGCGTAGTGTTTGACGTGTCAATCACATTGATAAGAAACAACATATCTCTATTTTAACAATGCGTAATCACATTCTTATCACGATCAAGTGTGGTGATTATACTCCGTTGACCTCGTATCCATTGTTTCCAGTGCAAGGTGGTGACCCTGGACATGTTTTCCATTCATGTATTTGGCAACCACCAACCAACACCCACACCCCACTTCTGTGCGGGTTCTCATTAGATATGTATAAATGTGGCATATAGATGATAATGATAATAAGAGATGGGTTCATTGCCAATTGTGCTAGCAAATTTATTGACAGCATATTATTTTACTATAAGTAATTTTACTTAGACTTTAGTCTTTTATGTATTTTCTTTTGTCTCGTGTGTGTACTTGTGTTTTATTATATTTAATGTCTTTTGACCACAGATAATGTAACAAAATATTTTATTTAGTCTCAAACAAAACATGCTATACTATACTACTATGTTCTCCTGTCAGATAGTCTGGAATGAGGTCTGCTGTAAACACCTACTGCTTAAATTCAGTCCTTGTAAGCAGCAAAATGTTTTCTCCAATGATAATAAAATCATTATTTCTGATGAAAAAACGATCCATACCTCACATAACAAATAAGTACAAAGAAATGTAGTCTGTAGCTGGGTAAAAAGAGTGTTTATTATCGCATTGTGTTTATATATCTGTCTGACTGAAATTGGGTAGGGATCTGGAAGGACTATTTTAAACATTTCGACTGGTTATTGATTGTCATACGAATGGTTAATAGTTTTCTTTTAAATATTACTGTGCAGGCCATTCTGGAAACGTGTATGTGTAATTTCGCACGTAACAAGAGTTTGATTGTTTGATAAATGTTCTTCGTTTTAACATAAATATGTCCCGTCAGCAATTTGACACGTGGCGGACGTGTTTCATGGGTTACCTAGCTAATAGATGTGTTGACGCCAATTTTAACGATTCGTTCTGAACTTTGGTCTCTGGCGTTGCATTGTTTATGGGTCTGATGATGTTTCATTGTGAATATTCTCACCTAATTTTGTATCAGTCGACTATTGATTGACATCCGGCCTACTGAGTTGTGGCGTTGCATCATAATCGTTGAGCCCCTGTGCTCGAATGGGTAGGTATTGCGAGGGTTAATATCATAATAGCAACGAAAATTCTCTAAAATAAAGAATATACTGGCATTTCAGCAAGACATGTATGTTTTTTTTTATTTCTAATTTCTAATTACTAATTTTGCTGAACAAATTTACTGAACAAGACGTTTGAAGACATTTATTTTGTTTCTAAATTCCTTTCCCGTGTGGAAACATCTCACGAACGTCCGTCAGACTGCATATATATGTTACTTAGCCATACAGAGTTTCCCAACCCCGGGAATTTCAGGTGGCGGAAACTCCTACTAATCTAGGACCTCTCTTAACAGGGTCCCCATACTGGCAGTGGTGGTGTGAATGGAAATGAACGAACAAAATCGTCTTTTTCAATGACGACAGTAAATTTAATGGGGATCGTACTTTCACACAGGTCAAATAAATGTAGGTCGAAACTTTAAAGAATGTTCTTTGACCTCTTAATATATAAATTTCCTGTCATTAATATTTCATTAAATAATTAGTAAAATGAATATAAGAAAGTGGCCTAGTTATAATTAAACTGAAGTTGACCACATAAATGGTATTGTTGTTGACCTCGTAGTGACCCGCCGCGTGCGTAATTTGCATAGTATAGACGCCGTGGAGTCAGTCTCTTTCACAGCTCGTTGAATCGGCGAAAACTATAAGCAACTTTAACGTATCTATCTCGCAAGGAAAATTGTTTTATTTAAGACAGACCCCATCAATTCCGTGGAGAAAAACTAATTTTGAAACTTTACAAAAAACGAACGAATTTCGTGTACAAATAATGAAGCGGTGACGACTGCTCTTTTTAAGTGCTAATATAATAATCGGAAAGAAGCCGTAAAAGATTCCTTGCATACGGCTATAGAGTGAATAGAATGTTAGGTTCAATAGAGGTACAACAATTGTATTGCGAATAAGAGTTGAACGAAAAGTTCGGGGCATCCTTCTGACATCGCGTTGTAGTAAACATCGCCGACCCATATAAAGGACTCCGTATTTTGGATTGCGAACGAGAGTTGAACGTAAAGTTCGTGACATTCGTTTGACATTCATAGTTGCGGCAAAATACACAAAATATTGTTTTGGTATATCGCGTTGTAGTAGTAAACATCGCCCACCCATATGAAAGATTCCGTATTTTGGATTGCGAACGAGAGTTGAACGTAAAGTTCGTGACTTCCGCGTGACATTCATAGTTGTGGACAAAATATTCAGGTGACGAAAAACATTTAACGGGTCCAAGTTGGACTGGCTAATTTAGACCGTAAAGAAGGAAAAATGGCAATTGTTTATAACCCCCCCCCCCCGTTAGAAAACTATCCTTCAGATTTGTTTGACTTTGTTTTCCAAATCCTTGTTTCCCTCTACATATTGCCCCCCAGCATTTCTTTGCCAGTGAAACATTTCTGTGACCCCCCCTCTTATCAGAAAGTTTAAAATTTTGGGGTTATGGGGTTAAACTAAAACGCATGGCACAATTCCCTAAAAAAACACGAAAATGTCCCCATATCCTTAAAGGAGTCGCACACAATTTTTCTTGTGTATAGACAATTTAAAGGACCCCCCCCCCGCTTTCGAGGAATAGACACTTTTCTCCCACCCCTAAAACAATCCTTAATAGCTTTTTCAATGAACAGCTCCATTCGCAACATACACCAGCTTATTTGCTATATTGAGTTGTTGGAAACATCACCGGCCTATATAGAAGAATTCCATATCTTCGATTGCAAGAGACCACAGTCCCTGGCACGGAGTTCACAAAGCCCTCGGTCAATACATTGGGAACAAAATCCAAAAATATTGTTTTTCCATATACGAGTAGTTGTAAACATCAGCTGCCTGTATAGAGGTCGTTAATAGTGTTTACTGCATTGTGGTAAACAGGTACTGTCTACAATAACACGAAGAGGATTATTTGTTTGTGAGAAACGGCTGTGACGTCAATGCGTTGAATGTCGTACATGTCTATGGAACTGGGTTAAGCCGGCAATGTGTGTAGGGTGTCTTTGGGGGGGGGGGTCTAAATACAACCGAAGATCATTCGTAATGTACAACTTGAACTAGCAGCACTATAAATTATATATAATAAGTGAATAAATACAGTGTCTCTACTCATAAACTAGATGATACGTGACATGTTCGACAAATATTGTTAGTGTGTAATTGGAATAGTTTGGGTATCTGTCTGCAGATGGCTCTCAAGTACAGGGTGATTACAATTAAGTAATTCATAAATTTTGTAATTACGGAAATAAATATTAATAAATATTCGTTTAATAATTGGTTTAACATTTTAATTATTCTGAACAAATTAAAAACAAAAAAAAGCAAATTACAAAATATACTAACTTGCAACTTGCAGAGAAACAATTCATTCCGTCACCGAATATTAGGAATAAGAATCGTACTAAATTACATTAAGTGTTATGCATCCTCATAAATTGTTGTCAAAAGCAAGCAGAGATCATCTATTGATTATAATACCTTTAATATTAATTAACTGTGTATGTTCTCTTTTTCAGATATACACAAGTTGA